TGGCGATCTTAGCAACAACACGATCCATGACACAGCCATCCGATCGTAACCATCCCCCCCCCCCCCCCCCCCCAAACTCCCCCCTCTTCGAACATTCATCTTCATCCCCCCACTGGCCGACCACTCACCAACCAGTCGGCCAACGCGACACAGCCGACAGCGCTCCAAGGTTTCGACCTCGACGGTCTCAACCTCGACCCTTGCACCGTCTCTCACCTTATACCCCACTTCACCTCACCTCTACAATGCTGCGTGGAGGAGGACTGGTGCGGACAGGCGTGGTGGCTGGCGTCCGGCTCGGCGGTGGGTTGGGCACGGGAGGACTCGGGCGAGGAGGCTCAGGCGGGACGGGCAGGACGGGCGCGATGGCGATGGGCATGGCGATGGGTGGAGTGGGAACAGCCAAGTACACCAACTGGGTGTTCAACATTGTGCCGCATCGTGAGGCGTGGGTGGTGGAGCGGTTCGGACGGTTCCACGAGGTGCTCGAGCCGGGCCTCCGCATCCTTGTTCCCCTCCTCCATCGCATCAAGTACAAGCACTCGCTGAAGCAGGTCGCTGTGGCTGTCCGCGACCAGCGGGCCATTACTCAGGACAACGTTCTGCTTGCTGTTGACGGCGTTCTCTACTACCAGGTTGTCGACCCGGTCCTGGCTTCGTACGGCATCGAGGACGTCCACTACGCCATCACCCAGCTCGCAGAGTCGACCATGCGCTCGGAGCTCGGCAAGATGAGCCTCGACAGGACGTTTGAGGAGCGAACGCTGCTCAACGAGTCGATTGTCTCCAACATCAATGCTGCCGCCAAGGAGTGGGGTGTGGTGTGCAAGCGGTATGAGATCCGCGACATCACCCCGCCGCACTCGGTCGTCCAGGCCATGGAGCTGCAGGTCGCCGCCGAGCGCCGCAAGCGGGCCACCGTTCTCGACTCGGAGGGTGTCCAACAGTCCCGAATCAACGTGGCTCAGGGCCAGCGGACCGCTATGATCCTCGAGTCCGAAGGCCACAAGTCCGAGCTCATCAACTCGGCCAAGGGTAAGGCCGAGGCCATCATCGCCAACGCCGAGGCCTCGGCAGCCTCCATCCTCATGCTTGCCAAGGCTGTCGCCTCGCAGGGCGGGAAGGACGCTGTCGGCCTCAAGCTGGCTGAGGAGTACGTCGAGGCCTTTGGCAAGCTCGCGGCGTCGTCCAACACCATGCTCCTGCCGACTGACGCCAACGATGTCTCGGCCATGGTCGCCAAGGCCCTCACCATGTACGGCTCCATTTCCAAGAGCCACAACGGCGCCGACGGTGCTGTCGATCCGACTGCCGCCTCGCCGGACGCCGTCCTTGACGAGCTCGCCGGCCGCACCGGCTCGGTCCTCGCCGCTCACCACTCGGCGTCGGAAGATGGCGACCTCGGCGACTCCATCGGCCTCGCCGCCTCCATCCCATCGCTTGACGAGCTCACCTCGGCCGCCGACGTTGACCCGCTGCTGGCCGACGGCGACCATGTCGGCGAGTTTTACGACAACCCGCAGTCGCACGGCGAGCAACAGGGCTGGGGCGATCCCGACTCGGTCTCGGGCGACTCGCGCCGTCAGACCTGACCTAAAGACGCCCACTACATGCTCGGCCTGTATGTCCATTGTTCATTGTTGCTGTGATGGAGTCGCAGCCAGCGTTTCGATCTCGCGGACCACAAACGAGAGCGCGGAGAACCAGGCTTCGCGGATGGCCTCGTCGTCAGCCTCGAGGTCGAGGGTGCAAAAGACGGCGACGACGGAAAAGGCGACAAACTCGCGCCCGCGCTTGCCGCTCTTCTTAAATGCCACGGTGGTATGTCCGCGGACAACGTCGAGGATGTCGGCAAAAGCAATACGGGCCGTCGGCTTGCCCGCTCGCACCTGGCCGTCCTTGCCTGCCACTGGCTCCCAGTACAGCGACTGCGAGGTAAAGTCGGCGTAGACAAACCGCTTGGCTTTTTGCCGCGCGCGTGCTTGGTGAACACCGCCCCAGTCTCGAGCGTCTCGCGAATTCGCGCGAGGTCCGCCGCCTTGGCCGCCGACCACGCCTCCGAGTTGTGGAGCGCCTCCTGCTTGGCAGCCTCCTGTGCGTGCCAAACCGAGAGCCCACGCTCGCGCCGCTTGGCAAGCGTCTTGGCCTGGACCCGGATCTTGTCCATCTGAACGAGCAGCGCGCGGGTGTACATCAAGAGCGCGCCGCTGGTCTTGACCTTTCCGGGCCACATCTCGATGATCTCGTCGTCGGGCTCGAGGCTCCGCAGGACGCCAGCAAGCTCCTTGTGGACGAGCGCCGCTTGGTACTCGAGTGCGTCCTTTCCGAGTGCGCTCTCGTGCGGCGCGTAGAAGTTTTCGGCCTGCGCCAGCGTTGGCGAGCTGCCATCTCCCACGGACGGCACGGTTGCTGCCGCCGCGAGGAACGCCCGCATCGGGCCGTCGTACTCGTCGACAAGCGGATTGAGGTGGGACATGCACTTTTCCTTGTCTCCGAACCGCACCAGGTTGGCGAGGCACTGCAGGGTCTTGGCGATGAGGACCAGGCCGCGAGCAGTCGGCCGCCCCGGGTGCGCGTCGGCGAGGCCAAACACCTTGGGTCCCATTACCGCCGGGCAGAAGAAGCGGAGAAAGAGGAAGCCCGAGACGGCAATGAGTGGCGCACCCGGCTTGTCGGGAAATTTGGCCGCCACCGCGTTGGCGAGGGCGGCAAAAACAAAGCGGAGCTGGAGCGGCATGGCGTCGAGCGAGCCGAGGACCGAGTCCACCGCGAGTCGAATCATGCCGTTGAGCCGCACAAGATTGTCCTGCCAGTCGGTGCCGTCGCGCGCGGCGCGCGCGTTGTCGATCTCGAAATGTCCGTCGGACGCATACATGGCGTCAAGAACCGGCTTGAGCGTGCTCGCAAGGTACTCCTTGCCCACAATCTTCATGTACATGTCCACAGCTTTGGAACCGAGCGAGTTGCCGCGGAAGAGCACCCCCGTGTTGGGCGTCGCCTCGATTTCGTCCGCCAGCACAGAGCCGAGAAACTCGAGCGCCGCACGCGCCCGCGGAGCACAAGCATGAGCGACCGGGCAAATGCATCGCGGTTGCGGGTGTATGCCATGACCCATCGCGCCTGAGCGCCCTCCTCCTCCTCGAGCGTGGCAAGCAGCGGCTCGTATGCGTCTAGAGGAAGAATATCGACCTCGGAAAACTCGTACTTGACCCGCAGGTCGCCCATAGCCGAGACCTCGGACGCTCCACCGTCGACGCCGGCGTCGCCGCCCGCCCCGCCCTCGGGCAGCGCCGCGAGCGCCCGTCGCCGAACAGAGACTTCGGGCGACGAGGCCTGGACCGTGGCCGAGCCGAGGGTGTGGAGGCCAAAGGCAGACCGGAGCTTGATGTCGTCCGACGCCGCCATAATGATGCGCGGCGAGCTGGACGGCTCCGACTCGCCGCTCTCCTCTGACGCTCCGCCCGACCCGTTGGCAGGCGGCGGCGATGGCGGCGGCGACGACTGCGAAGTCACCGAGCACCGCCGCTGGCGGGCCATTTTTTGGACCTGCGCCTCGAGCTTGGCGTGTGGCGTGGCGTAGTACTTGGAGCGGAGCGAGTACCATGCCGCGTGGGCCACATGCGGCTCAAGCGCCCGCAGGTCGACCGAGACCTCACCCATAAAGTCGTCGGTGCCGAGCTTCTTGGCGTGCCAGACAGAGACAATGACCGACCGCGAGGTCCGGTCTGTGACAAAGGTGAAGGCGTCGCCAAAGAAGACCGCCACCGACGCCGCCGCGCGCATCGGCGTGCTTGTCTGGGCCTCGCCACCGTAGTCGACCCGGATGAACGGCTTGCACGGGCCCGAGATGCCGGCGTGAGTCAGATTGCGGGCCTCACCGATGCGGATCTCCAGTGTACCTGGCGCACTCGTTGCCTCTGTAAACGGCGCGTGCCGGATGGTGACATGCATTGAGCCCGAGACAAAGTCGCGCTTGCGGACGGTTGGAAGCTCAAGTGGAAGCCACTCTTGCATCATCTTCTCACTCGAGCCCGCGAGCTTGTCCGAGTTGAGAAGGACTCGGCCAAGGAACGCGTCGCGCCGGCGCGAACCAGTCTCAAACACATCGATCTCCACGTTGGGCTCCCACGTCAGCGGAAGCTCAAAGTTGAACTCTTCGCCGTAGGTTGGCTCCGATGTCTTGTGCACCGTCTGTGTCCGCACTACTAGCCCTCCACCGAGGTGCACATTGCAGTACGACGAAACTGTCGACTTGCCGCCCTTGAGGTTGCGGCCCTCGGCGACGCGCAGGTGCAGCAGTCGTTGCGCCCGCACATACAGCGGGCCAGCGTAAACCGGCAGCGACGGCGTCAGCCGCCGTGATGGCAACAAGCCCGCCGCCCCACCAGAGCTCGACGCCCGCCGCCCCACCCGCAGACACACAACCTCAACCCCGGTGTCCGAGTCTGAATCGTCAGCCACTGATCGCGGCGTAAGCGGCGTCACAGAGTGGGTGGTGAGCACGCCCTGGACCTGTGACTCGTTGAGCGAGTCGAACCGAGCCGCAGACGTGCACGACGACGACGACGAGTACGAGTAGTATGACGACGCCGACGATGTCGACGATGACGACGACGAGCCTGACTCACCATCTGATGCCGACTCGACGTCTGATTCCGACTCGGCACCTGAACCAAGCTCTGTCTCGGCAACCTGGGCCCCGGCCTCAGTCCTACCCCCAGTCTCAGCCCCAGCCTCGGTCTCACCCCCCGTCTCGAGCCTAGCCTCGAGCCTAGCCTCGGTCCCAGCCTTGACTCCAGCCTCGGCATCTGCAGCACGGCCAGCCACAATATTGGCATCAAGCGCCACCACCGCCGCCGCTGCCACCGCAAGCGGCGCTTCTCCCGAAGCGAGACCACCAGCAGGAGGCAGGCTAGCCGGAGGAGGCAGAGGCGGAGGGAGCTCGGTGGCGGTGACAGGACAAGGCGGAGAAGGTAGAGTAGGCTCGGCACTACCGTTTGCAGAAGGAGGTATGGCTGCAGGACTCGTGGCTGCTGTGCCAGGAGCAGAGCTTCCTCCACCGCCCGCGTGTTGTTCGCATGCCGACATTTCCTCGTGGTGGCTCTTGGAGTCGGAGCCACTTGATGAGGCCTCGCCACTGACAGTCGACGAGCATGACGCTGCTGACGACGACGACCCATCTGATGAGCTCGATGAGGCAGAGGAGGACATGCCGCCTCTCACCGATGACCTTGGGCAAAGAGGGAAAGTGACGGTGGCGGTGTCAGGGAGTGCAGTGGCAAGCCCTCGTGTGCTTGAGCCACTCTCGCTCGCCGCCGAGTCCTCGTGGCTGGGTGGTGGAGGCACAAAAAAACCAACAAAGTGACGGGCATTGTCCTCTCCCTCGCTTGCCGGCCGAGCGGTCGCTCTGCTGGCTCGACGGCCCGACCCTCTGTGCTAGTACGTCGTACCGATTGACACAGTTACCTGCGTGTACATGACCGCTCGTCGTAAGCTCGCGCTCACGCGAGATCAAGGTAAGGATTGGGCGCCGAGACGGCGTCCGTAGTCGCTGTCACGCGTTTTCATCAAAGGGTGGGCGGATCGGAGCCGACTGTGTCGACGCCATCGGAGCTCTTAGCGAAGAAGTAAGATGCCAGCCACTTTGCATCGCTCAGCCAGCCGCGAGTGCTGGCGACTTGTACCACTTGCGGCAAGCTGTGCTAGGGTGGGGGATTGGCAACAGAAAAAATGACGGGATGGGAGAGGGAGGGGTGGATGGAGGAGAGGGGCGGTCAAGCAAGGTTTGGAATGAAGGATGATGGGATACGGCTTTGCAACCCCTACTTCTTTTCATCACTATTCAACGGGTGCATTTCTGAGTACGTGTGTGTGTGTGCATATAAATATATATATGTGTGTGTGTGTGTGTGTGTGTGTGTGTCTATGTATGTGACGTGTGTGGACATGGAGAAAATGATGCGGTGGAACAGAAAATTTGTGTGCCGCCAACTCGCGGGACAGATTGTCTTCAAGTCGCACTCCCGATTGTGTCCTCCCCACCGCAACTCGCAGAGCAAGGGCCAAGGGCCAAGGGTGAGGAAGGAGAGGGGCGGGGGGAAGGAGGAGTTGGTGAGTCGCACCACATCACTCACTCAACCCAACCACCCACTTTGCAAACTACCAACCTACTACACCCGTACCCAGCTTGACCTACCTCTACTTTGTCTCCACTACACCCGGCATGGACGACGAGGGCACAGCGAGCAACAGGGCGACCTCGCCCGAGGAGGCCACCAGTGCGAGGAACGGAAGCGAAACGACAGCGGCAACCACGGCAACGGGCATGAGTACTGCGACGAGTAGCAGCAACACGACGGCGGGCACTCGGCCGAGGCGGTCGAAGCGGAAGCGGAGCATGGCGTCACCAGGGCCGAGTGTGGCAACGTCGTCGACGGCGTCGACGGCAACAACGGCAGCGGGCGCGGCGCCAGTTCGGTACAATGACGATGGCATGGCGGTGTACGTTGCTAACGGCGAGGAGACGACAACGGCACCCGGCGGAGGCGAAGAGGCTGGCGAGCGGGCGACCAAGCGGGCCAAGCTCAACTCGGGGAGCTCGAGCAAGGCGGTGGCGCGGAGCAGCGGGCGCACGCGCCGGTCGTCCAAGAAGGCCGAGAGCGCGGCGTTGCAGAAAAAGCGGAGCAGCGGAAAGGGCAAGAAGCAGGTCTCGGCCAAGGGTAAGCGCAGAGGAAAGGAGGAGGTCTCGGACGATGGCGGTGGGAGCGGAAGCGGGAGCGAGCCGGCGCCGATGGACGTGGTGGGAGGCAGCACACGGCGGCGCCGTGGATCGGGCCTTGTGGCGCCCAAGCTTCCGCCACCGTCGGGCTCTGTCGTGCTCACTTCGTCGATGCGGCGCATGGTGCCGTCGATCAACGAGCCGCCGCTGATGCCGAGCCGCAAGACGGCGCTCAAGTGGGAGACCTCTGTCCCGCTTGTCGACCGCATCAACTTTGACGAACTCGAAGTGGAGACGATTGCCGGCAAGACCGGACGGCACGGGAAGCGAAACGGGCCTGCGCCCGAGGCTGAGTTCTTTCGGTGCTACGGCATGGTGGAGAACGCGGCGCGGACGCACTTGTTTGTGTGCGACAACGGCAACGGCCTTGTCCGGGTTCTACACGATGGCGAGGTCTCGACCTTTGCCGGAGCCGACAAGTCGTCGGGCGTGGTAGAGCTCGAGACGCCGCGAAACGGCGAGACGACGCCGCAGCCGCTGGCGGTGCGGTTCAATGGGCCGACAGGCCTGTGCATCGACGAGAACGACACCATGTACCTTGTCGAGTGCTACGGCAACCGAGTCCGGTCTGTGGCAGCCGACGGGACGGTCAAGGTTGTTGCTGGGCCGACAGCGGACGACAAGGGGTACAAGAACGGGCGCGGCAGCGTGGCGCGGTTCAACGGGCCGCGCGGCATCTGCCTCGCATCGGACGGGCATCTGTACATTGCCGACTGTGACAACCATTGCATCCGCAAGGTGGAGATTGCGACTGGCAAGGTCTCCACTTTTGCCGGCAAGGGCCGGCAGTCGGGCTATCGCGATGGCGCGGCGACGCATGCTCGGTTCTCGTGGCCGGCGCAGGTCATCCACGCCCGCGAGCCCGGGACCGGCGAGTCGGTCCTCTACGTTTCGGACAACCACAACCGGTGCGTCCGGCGCATTTCGCTGGCGACCGCACGGGTGACGACTATTGCGGGCTCGCAGTCGCAGCAAGTGCGCGATGGCGAGGGCACGAACGCGTCGTTCGAGTCGCCTTGGGGCATGCTTGTCGACGCGCATGGCGACCTGTACGTCATGGAGCACAACGTCAACTGCATCCGCAAGGTCATGCTCTCCGAGTCGCTCAAGAACCCAAAGGTGGTGACCATTTCAGGCTCGCCGCTCAACAAGCTCGTGACGCTCGACGGGCGTGGCAAGACCGTGTCGTACAAGCACCCGATCTGCATGCTCGACGACGGCCGCGGCAACATGTACATCTCCGAGTACGCCGGGCACTGCATCCGGGTCATGAAGGGCGTGCTGCCGGTGGTGGGCGTCGAGCCGCCGCCGCCGTCGCGGCTTCTCGACGACCTCGCGTCGCTCGAGCTCGATGAGGCGACTCACGACGTGGCCTTTTGCGTCTCGGTCCCGCACCACACCGAGATCTCAGCCCATCGCTCGGTTCTCATGGCGCGGTGCAAGTACTTTAAGGCCATGTTCTCTAACGAGTTCTCCGAGGCGCAGGCGTCGCAGGACGCGGCGCGGGCGGCGGTGGCCAAGCGGGCGGCGGCGGCCGACCGCGACGCGGCGGCGGGCGGCACAAGTGCGGGCGGAAGCCTCCCGCGCGCCGTCATTAACTTCCCCGAGGCCACGGCGTCGGCGCTGTACTCGGTCATCCACTACCTCTACACCGACGTGCTCGACGTGCACGAGGACGACGTGCTCGACACCATGAAGCTTGGCGAGTTCCTCCTCCTTGAGCGAGTCGTCGCCCTCTGCCGCGTCTACCTCACCGACGCGCTCTCGGTCAAGACCGCCATCCCCTGGCTCATCTGGCATTCCGAGTACGCCATGTCCGACTCGGTCGACGACGGCGACAACCGGTTCATCTTCCCGCGCGCGAGGCGGACAGCCTTTGAGTTTGTTGTCCTCAACATGATCAAGCGCGACGAGGCCGCCACAGGCACCTTTGCCGCTCTCCAGGCCTACCCCAAGCTCCTTGCCGAGCTCCTCACCTCGGCCTTTGCTGAAGACCTCGAGGAGGCGGCCAACAAGCCGCGGACGGTCATTGCGTCGTTTGGGACAACGGCCGGCGCACTCGCGGCGCTCATCTCGTTCTTGCAGTCTGGCGAGCTGCCGCTCGACACCGACACCGCGTGTGAGGTGCTTGGCCTTGCCAACCGGTTCTCCATCTCCTCGGCCATCGACAGAGCGTCGCGGTACATGATCGACACGCTCACACCGGCCACCGCCATCGAGCGCCTCACCTGGGTCTCCCAGCAGCTGCAGTCGCCCAAGCCGCGCTCCCGCAAGCCAGCGTACATGTTCCCGAACCTCCGCAAGACCTGTCTCGACTTTGTCGCCAAGAACTTTACCGAGATCTCGGTCAAGTACTTTGCCCAGGTCCAGGAGTTTGTCCAAGGCCATGCCTCGCTCATGGTCGAGGTTCTCGACCGCCAGCGCAAGTCGGCCACGCCCGTCAAGTCCAAGTCCAAGTCGTCCAAGTCCAATGCGTAGCAGGAGCATAGAAGACTGCTCAGCAAAGAGCGTTTAGCATCGATGTGTGTTTGTGTGTGTGTGGGGGGGGTTGTTGTTGCTACTCATCGAGCACGTCGTCGACGGCAACATCGTCGTTGTTTGCGGTCGCCTCGGCGGCGGCGGCAGCGGCAGCCTTCTTCCGCTGGGCCTGATACTCTTCGAGCTCGGCATCGAGGTAGTTCGCGGCCCGCTTCTCGTCTTTCAGCATGTAGCTAGCCAGCTCTGCATCCAGCTCGGCCTGGGTCTTGGGCTTGGCCACCTGGGAGACGTCCTTCGTCTTGTTGCCCTTTGCCCGCTTGTTGGCCGCCGTCTTTGCGCCCTTGGTCGGCACCTTCTTCCGCTTGCCGACCACAGCCTGCGCGCCATTGCCCGTCTTGCCCTTGACCTTGCTACCGGCTGCCTTGTTGCCAACGGCCTTGCCCTTGTTGGACGCCTTGCCCTTGCCCTTGCCCTGGCCCTTGCCCTGGCCCTTGCCCTGGCCCTTGCCCTGGCCCTGGTTCTTACCCTTGTTGGCCCTGACCCTTGCCCTGACCCTGGACCTTGTTGGAGGCCTTGCCCTGGCCCTTGCCGGCCTTGCCCTTGTTGCTCACAGCCTTGCCCTTGCCCTGGCCCTTGCCGGCCCCACCCTTGGCGGCAAACCGATCCGAGAGAGTCACAAACCGCGGCATGTCCTACACCGACCCATCCCCTCTTACATAAGCAAACATCCCCCCTCTCCCTCCCTTCCCTCCATCCCTTCCTCACTCCCCCAATGCGCATACCCAAGCTGTTCAGTCAAGTGGTGCCCCTCCCCCCCCCCACCTTCCCTATCCACTCCAAGCCCAAGCCCACCACCCACTCCTCGCCATGCCCGGGGAGTACAAAGACCGGTGTGCAAACTCTTCATCGGATGGTGGTGTCCTAGATGGTCTCTCCATCTCCTCCTCCTCCTCTTCTTCTTCCCCATACCCTCCCCCTGCTGTCCATCCTGCCGCCCGTCCGCTCCCCGCACGGCCTTTGATCAGTGGCGTGATCAACTTTGGTCGCAGCCGCTCGCCGCCGCTCTGCCTATCTGCTCCGCTAGAGGCACACACCGCCGTCCTTCCACTCTTGGCCGACTCGCAACAATCGCATGTGAGCCATGTCTCCTCCCCGCCGGTCTCACCCCGTATGCTCCCTCCGCCACCGGCCGCGCTCCTCGTCCGCTCTTCCATGCCCGCCCGATCACCATCGCGATCACCGCCGTTTTTAGGAAAAGGCCGTGCAGCGCCCGGCTCGGCCGCACACCGCCGACACTGCCTCTCGCCGCTGCCCTCGCCGCCGCTGGTCGTCCGTAACCTCGCACGCACCGTGCTGGTCGAGGACAGCGACGACGGCAGCGGAAGCGGTAGTGGTAGCGGCAGTGGCAGCAACGCCAGGCCCATCGATCTGTTCGCTAATGGAAGCAGCGACGGCGAGAGCAGCGACGTGCAGAGCGACGCGCAGAGCGACGCGCAGAGCGACGTGGCACAGAGCGAGCACTGGAGCATAGGCCGCCGCCGACACATTGCCGACACATTGCTCCGCCGTCATCGCCCGAGTTGTTTGCCGCCGGCGAGCTAGTCCCGGATGCCGAAGCCTCGTCGCGGGCGCTGAGCTCGTCGGGCATCGTGCTGAAGGCCATTCCGCCGTGCTCGGGCCTGCGTCTCGAGACAAACACCGTGGCCGACGCAGATGCCGATGCTGGCGTGAGCAGCTCGTCGGGCGAGCTTGATGTGGCCGCTGCTGCTGGCGGCAGTGGCCCTCCTCGCCCGCACTCGCCACTTGTCCTGCCGTCGCCGTCGGTCCCACCGTCGAGCGACGTGCCGCAAGCGGCGCCGCAGACGCGGGTCGAGATCCGGCGGCGAGCGTCGCGGCTGCGGCGGCGGCCGGCTAGCCGGACCCACAAGCGCCCGCGTGGCTCCGACTCGGGCTCTGAATCGGCGCTCTTCCGCAAGCGCCCACACGTCCTGCACCCGGCTCCTGCCCAGATTCTCAGCAGCGTCAGCCTTGAGCTCGGCTTGGCCCACCACGACGAGGCCGCGTCGCGGGCTGCGCTGGCGTCAGCGCTCCAGGCGAGCGGCATGGCGTCCAGCGAGCCGCTGGCGCTGCCACCGTCGCAGCTGTCGCGCACCGATGGCAAGCAGGGCGAACCGGATGACTGGCACGCGTCCTGCGCCCGCCCGCAGCGACTGAGCAACTTCCCTCCGTCGCAGCTCTCTTCGCAACAGAGCGGGCGGCTGGTGGGCCCCTCGCTCGCAGCTTCGCTGGCGGCTCTGGAGCGGCCGGGGCCGCCGCCGCCGCGGGTTGTCCTCAACATCGACACCGAGTCGGACGACGACGACGACGACGACGTACCGCAGAAGCGCGGGCGCCGGCTGGAACGGCGTTTGTCGTCATCGCTGTTGCTCTCGAAGCGGGTGGCGCCGCCGCGACCCGTGGCTGTCCGGGCAGGCTACGGTGCCGCCGCCGCCGGCGACGCCGGCGAGCTGCTGAAGACCGCGGGCTGTAGACGGTGTGAGCTCTGCGGCGAGTCGATGGCAGCCGGAGCGCTCGCGCGGCACCTCAACGTCTGTGCGCTGTGACATGCACGTAATGAAAGAGTGGAGAGAGGAGCGTGATCAAGGTACTGGGTGTTCACTGTTGCCACGTGTGACACAACGGGCAAGAGAGGGGTGCCGATGAAAGGAGAGAGCCGAGCTCGGTCGGGGCCCGGGTTTGGCTAAGCGTGGAGCTTGTCCTTGCCCTTGCCCTTGTGCTTGTCCTTGTGCTTGGACTTGGACTTGTCCTTGTGCTTATGCTTGTGCTCCTTGTGCTTCTCCTTGTGCTTGTGCTTGTCGCTTGCGTGCGAGGTGCGCGAGGAGGCCGAGGTAGAGGCCGAGGTCGAGGCTGGGTGGTCAGGCGCGTCGGCGGAGCCGTCTTCGAACGAGTACTCCTGTGAGTCAGCCCACGAGTCGTCCGAGGTTGAGTGGCGCTTCTTAGCCTGCTCGGCCTCGATGGTGGAGATGATGACCGACTTGAACCGCACGCGGGCCCGCTCCATGTTGTGCAGGTGCAGCTGGTGCCGGTGCGAGTGGTGGACATCGTCGGACGAGCCGGCGCTGCGGTGGCGGTTGTGGTGGCGGCGGTGGGCGTCGCGGATCTGAGCCTCGGCGCCCGAGACCCGAAGCAGCCACGGGTGGGTGATGATGTCCTCGAGCGAGATTCGCTTCGACGGGTCGACGACAAGGAGGCGCGAGACGAGGTCCTTGGCCCCCTCGGAGATGTTGTCCCAATACGGAGTGGGGAACTCGTACATGCCGCGCTTGATGAGCTCAAACAGCTCGGTGTAGTTCTCCGAGTAGAACGGCGGGAAACCGCAGAGGAGCGTGTACAGGATGACGCCGCACGACCAGACGTCGGCCGAAAAGGTGTATGTCGAGTCGTTGAGCACCTCGGGCGCAACATAGTACGGCGAGCCGCACGCCGTCTTGAGCGTCACATCCTCGCCCACAATCTTCGACAGGCCAAAGTCGGCAACCTTGATCTCGGTCATGTCCTCGTCGGTCGCCGCTACCAGGAGATTCTCCGGCTTGAGGTCACGATGGATGATGTCCAGGTCGTGGAGGTACTTGACGCCCGAGACAAGCTGGAGAAAGACCGTCGCCGCCTCGCGCTCCGAAAACTCGTCAGTGTTGGCAATGCGCTCGAACAAGTCCGTCCCGTCCACCAGCTCCATGACCAGATAGATCTTCTTGTCCGTCTCGTAGATCTCCTTCAACGCAATGATGTTCGGGTGCGAGACCTGGCAGAGGATATCCACCTCCATCCGCATCATCGTCTCCTTGCCCGTCAGCTTTTCCTTCTCGATGCACTTGACAGCCTGTCCACGTACTCCGAGGGTGGGAGGGGGGGTGAGTGAGGCGTGTGCCAGCGGGCGAGAGGGCGAGGCTCTTGCCTCCCTGCGCGCCGCCATGGGCAGGTTGTGGCACAGATAGCCTGTACCATGCACAGACATGGCCCGTACCCCCCACACACAGGCTGCTTTGGCACAGACAGGCTGCTTTGGCACAGACAGGCTGCTTTGGCACAGACAGGCTGCTGGACACACAGGTTGCAGCCTACTGACTGTGTCTCTCTCTCCTCGCTCCTCCCCGCCAAGTTCAGACCACTGCCCGAGGTCCCCCTTCCCCTCCCCCCCCCCCCCCCACACCTCCATACAGAGGTGGTGGACAGAGGAAAGGGGAAGGGGAAGAGGGGGAGGGGAAGGGGAAGGGGAGGGGAAGGAGGGGGGGATAGGAGAGGGGGGGGGAAGGGGGAAAGGAGGGGGAAGGACCTTTTTTGGGGGGTCACCACCATTCCAACGATTATTGGCTATGTGGTCATTGATGGTGTCGGTGGCTGGCCTGGTGACTCGCCAAAGCAGGTGGGTAGGGGGGGGGGGGGGTACGTACCCACTCGGTGCCGTCGACCTTGTGGCGGGCAAGTTTGACGACGGAGAAAGCACCTCGTCCAAGAACCTTCTTGAACTTGTACACTTTGCCAATCTTCATCTGGATGGCACCAGGAATGGTCACCTCGCTGGTCGTTGACATGGTCGCGCTCTCCGGCAGCTGCGACGAGTGTCTTCGCCCTCGTCTGGCCACGAGTGGCGGTGGCTCATTGGCAAACTGCGATTGCTGCTCCGCAGCAATTCCGTTTGCCGGCCAGTGGCACGGGGAATGGTCGGTTCAGTGGGGGGGAAGGGCATGTGGATTTCTGGGAAAGGTGGTAGGTGGGGGATACATAGGCTGGAGAAGGTCTTGGAATGGATGGCGGATGCAGCTTTGGGAAGGTGGGTGCTTTGGAGGTATGCCGGTGATGCACGATCACGGTATGGCGGATCAAGAGGATCACAGCCACGGGGCAGTCTGCTGGTGTGGCGGTGGTGACCCACAGGCGGGCGATGGTGGAGTGTAGAGTGTGTACATGGGTGCGGTTTACTCGGCCTTGGCCGGCTTGTCGTCGTCGGCGTGCGGGTTCATGTACGTGCCGCCGATGCGGTCCCAGAACGTGGTGTACTGCCCGTGGTTGACGAGGAACTTGGAGTGGTGGAACGTGTGGTGGGCCGTCGAGTTGAGGAACCACCACTTGGGCATGGGCAGGCCCTCGTGGATGCAGATCTGTAGATGCGCGGGCGGTGAGTTGGGAGGTGGAGGGAGAGGGGAGGGGGAGAGGAGAGAGGGAAAGAGAGAGGCGAGAGGGCGTACCGTCCAGATGTTGACGCACGTAAAGGCGACGATCCACAGCACAGCGTGCATGGGGAAGATGAGCGGGAAGAAGTGGTAGGGAAGCGACTGTGCCACGCCGTCGAGCGGGTGGAAGGCGTGCGAAGCAAACGGACCTGGGCAGAAGAGAAAGGTGAGTTGGAGGTGGGTGGGTGGGTGCGGGGGTAGGGGAGGAGGGTTGCACAGTAGAGCAGAACGTACTGGAGACGATCCAGCGATGGTGGGGCTTGTGCACGTGCTTGTAGAGGAACGGAGTGTGGAGGCCACGGTGGATCCAGTAGACAAAGCAGTCGGTGAAGGCGATAAAGAGGAAGATGGAGAGGACGAGGTAGCCCCAGCCGTAGTCATCAACGTTGCGGTAGAACTTGGCATAACCACGAACGTCAATAATGAAGAATGGAAGCGTAATGAGCGACATCCAGAAGATGGACGGGATGGCCAGCTGCATCTCGAGCTTGATCTGGTCCTTCTTGAACTTGGGGTGCTTCATCAGCGACTTGTCAAAGATAAAGTGATACCTACACACCACATACACCGAGTCAGTAACATGTGAGTGAACCATGCAAGACGGTGGTGGTGCTTGGATGCTTGGATGGTCCCTTGCTGGGGGGGGGGGGCTGACAACCGTGCGGGGATATCCAGGGAAACGCCGCCAGGCGGACAGCCGGCCACGCCAGCCACGTCGCCAACCTGACGCCCCTCCCCCCAAGAGGCCTTTCCAGCCCTTCCAGACCTCGTCCCTTTTCCCATAAACATACCCCCCCACTTCATGCCATACTACAACACACGCTCTACACAACCATGTGTATGGTGGGGATGTAGACCGCCCCCACCCCTACCCCCCCTACCCACCCCAGTCGGGTCATGTTCAGACAGGTCATCCATGGACGACACGACGTACGAGAAGGAGGCCACCGCCAGGTAGGTGATGAGGCCACCAATGGCAGTGATAAAGTAGAGCGAGAGGGACTGGCGAAGAAGCGCATGCCGAACAAGGTGCTCTCCCAGCCATGGGTAGCTTGCAGAGGTAGCATTCGCCACAGCCGCGTACTGGCTGTCCAGCACAAACTCGTCCGCCAACTCGAGGAGCAAGTCCATGAGCCCTATGTGCGAGAGAGAGTGAGAGAGAGGGGTGAATGGTCGGGTGGTCGCCGGGCTTCTCCACCGCCCGGCCGAGTCATGGTCATCGCACATTGCCGCCCGGACCCATTCATGGTCATCGCACCCGTACACGCCATCGCTTCCGCTAGATACTCTGTCGTTAAGTTGACATGTTTGGCTTGGGGCTATGGTTATGTACTTTGGGTTGGTATGGCTGTCAGGGGTGGGGTGGTTGTGCCATAACTGATCATCTGTTTGTGGGTGGGCGGGGGATGGGGCGAGCAGCGGCCGGTGGTGAGTGGCGAAGGCTTGTGGAGTAGTTCTGGGTGTGTGGAGCAAGGATAGTATGGGCGAGTTATGCAGAGACCGCTACGCGATGTACACCATTGGCTGCGAGGGGCGATCGAGAAGATGCGGGGCGAGCCAGGCCCACTGCGGATGGTCGGCGTAGTAGGCTGCGGCGTCAAAGGCGAAGCCGTTGGCGCGGCCGGTGCGGGCGTGAAAGGCGAGGGCGGCAATGTCGGTGGCGTTGGCGACCTTGGCATCTGTGGATCCTGCCGGGAAGAACGGGACGGCCCAGACCGCGGTGGGGTCGGAGAGGTACTGCTGCGGATCGATGTCGTTCATGCCGCAGATGTTGCGCGAGCCGCGGGCGTGGTCTTGAGGTACGGGTCGTAGTCGTCGGCGAGCATGGCGGCGCCGACGGCAGTGGTGATGTTGCCATAGTGCTCGTCGACGAGCATGGACCAGACGACGCGGCGAGCGCCGGTGTTGGCGCGGACGTCCGAGTAGCCCGAGTCGAAGCACTCGAGATTGCGGATGCGCGGGTCCTCGGCGACGTTGGCTCCGGTGAAGACACCATCAGTGAGGGTGGCGAGCGAGGTGTACTTGAGGCCCTGCTCGAAGCGGGCGATCTCGCCGGTCTTAATGTCGGCGACGAGCCACATGGAGGCGTACCCACCGTTGTTGCCGTTGTCGAGGGCAGCGACAAAGGAGGCAATGTCGACGGCGCTCTCGGCAGCGAGACGGGCACGGACCCACTCGGGCATGCCGGACGGGTCGTAGCCGTAAAAGTTGGCGATGGTCGTCTCGACGACGGCGAGGCCGGCGCCAGTCAGCCACCAGTCGGACATGGAGGCGACGTAGCCGGGCATTGTCTGCATAACAATCTCACCAGCGGCGGCTGTGGTTGCGAGCTTGTAGACCCAGGTAAAGTACTGGCCGGACCAAAACTCCAAAAAGGTGGTGTGGCCGATGACCACGCCGCCGTCTGCGGTGGCCGAGCCTGTGGCCACAAAGGCCGAGCAGTGCGAGTTGCGCATGTGCATGTTGAGATGCGGAGCCTGTGTCGGCCACCACGAGCCGGTCATCTCGATGTACGAGTTCCAGCCCACAATCTCTTCGGGAGTCACACCGATGCCGTCGGCAATGCCTTTGATCTCCGCCAAGAGCTCGGCAGGGATCTTGTCCATGTACAACTCCACCGCTGCGGCCTCAAAGAAGCCCAGCGTCTTGCCCGTCGTCTCGAGTGTCACCGCTTCAAACGTCGTCCTTGCTGCAAAATACGCCTCCCGCCCAGCCTTGCCCCACATCAGCCCGCGGGTGTACGGATCCGTCGTCTCGCGCGTGTCCACCACTGTCCACCCGCCGAGCGCCTCGCCCTTCACTGCCGCCTGGCCGTCGGCCACCGCCACCGCCACTACTGCCGCTACCATCACAACCAGTACTTCCGTCCATGGTCCGTGCATGGTCGTGTGTGTGTGTGTGTGTGTGTGTGTGTGTGTGTGTGTGTGTGTGTGTGTGTGTGTGTGTGTATGTTGAACAACGTTGTGCTCTCGTGGCGCACGACCGACTGATGGGCGAGGAATGGGCGAGGGATGGAGGAATGGGCATGGGATGGAGGAATGGGCGAGGGATGGGCGATGCTCCTTGGGCTGTCTGCTTGGGTGCAGCAGAATAATCTGATGGTGGTGGATGAAGTGATGGAACCGGTGATGGTCATGGTCATGACCATGGTTATGATCAGAACGGGTACGGGGATGCGGAGCGGACAGGGGAGAGGCGCCAGCGACCGAATCGGCGTTCGGTCTCCCCTCTGCCCCGAGTGCGACTCGACACGGCACGACGGCACCGGTCGGCAAACCTGTCTCCCACACGCTGCGATGGCTGTGCTGAGTGAAATATGGGTATGTGGGGGGTGTAGGGGGAGGAGAGGAAGGGGGGAGAGAGGTTACAGAGGCGATGGACTCACCGCACTGGCTGCCATGACCATGGTAACTACCGGGTACGGCGACGGCTACTGGCATCACCATCGACGACAACACCATCGACGGCATCACCATCATCCAGTCGCCCAAGAACTTTGAACTGGTCCTGGCCAAGGTCCCTAACTTTCCGTACTGGCCTGCGCTCGTCCACAAGGAGGACAGGTCCAAGCACGCTGGCTCGGGCGAGATCACGGTCACCTTTGTTGATCGTAAGGACATGTACGAACGGTACAAGGTCGCGCAGGATTCGATCAGAGCTCTGACAAAAGCCGAAGTCACAACCTTCCTCCGTACATTCCGCTCAAAGAGCGGCACGCGCAAGCCCGATGACGACGATGTGTGCGACGCCTCTGTCAAAGGCATCAAGGTGCCCAAGTCCAGGCCCCCCTCCCGCCGGCACAAGGCTCGCCTGCTCGACGCGTATGAGTCTGCCCTGCTGTGGCTCAATGGCACGCCCCCGTCGGACCTGATCGACGCTCTCATTCGCAGCGATTCGCTTGGCCTCGCCGCATCGTCTTCTGACGACGACAACGACTTAGCCGGCTCCACCATTGCCAGGGCTCGCGCCGCTGCCACTGCCAGCTTTATCAAGAAGAACAAGGCCAGGAAAAGAAAGCGGCGAGAGGCAAGGCGGCCGCAGGCTCGGCATCCGACTCGTCGTCCACATTATCCTCACTCAACTCCTCGGTGTCGTCAAGCGACTTTGATACCTCGTCTTCTCCCGTCCGCCGCCCGGGCCGTGGCGCAAGACAGGCCACCAAGACGACCAAGAGCAAGAGCAGCCAGGGCAAGAAGGCCAAGACGAAGAACCGCGCCACGAAGCCTGCCAAGACGGACAAGGACATCGTCGCCGAAATGGAGGCCGTCCTCAAGAGCGACGGCGATCCCGACGTCTCCTACATCGGCGACGACCTCGAGCCGCTCTCCGAATCCTCACACTTGCCCGACGCCCTCAAAACCACTTACGCCGCGCTGGACTCACTCAATCAGCCCTCCAAGCCTGACCTCCTCTCCACTCGCGGGACATACTCCGAGGAGCAGTGGATCGAGGTCATCGACCGCCACGCCACCGCCCTTAACGAGCTGGTCGCCGGCGTGCGTCAGACTCAGCGCTCACGCAACCTGCACTATGGCTCCCGGCTTGGTTATTGGTCCGCGGCCAGCGATGACTGGGGTGACGTCTCCGCTGAGGAACGGGATGTCCTCGCCGTCATTTTTGACAAGCGCTTCCCCGACATCAACGACGACAACATCATTCGCCACGTCCTCCCGCACTACACCGTGGTCCTCGCCCTCTGCGACGCCTACCCGGACATTGTTGCTGCCGAGTCGGACTCTGACCCCACCGACCCGGACGCCGAACCGGCCTGGCTCCTTTCATCCCGCTGGACGACAGACCCGGCCGAACTGGCATCGCCGCCTGCCAAGACGGCCAATACCAAGACCAAGACTAAGACCAAGACCAAGACAAAGGGCGGAGCCAAGGGCGGGGCCAAGGCCAAGGCCAGCAAACGTGCCGCGTCACCCGCAGAGCCTCGCCGCCGCAGCCAGCGGCACAGGAACCTGTCCTAGTGCCAAACCAAACACACTGCCACAATGGTGCATTCATTCTTCATTCGACCACATCCGAGACGTCTGAGATCGGGACCAGCGCCATGGCTGCGGCGTCGGCCGGATCGACATCGTCCTTGCCCTTGGCGTCGTTGTCGGCCTTGTGGTCGGCCTCGGTGAGGACGCGGACAACGGGGCGCGAGGCGGTTGACGACGAAATCGGCAGATCGACGACGGCCTGCATCTTGGGGAAGAGGTGGATGAAGATGTCGTGGTACTTGTTCTGCACCACAGTGCGGATCGGGGCCGAGGCCGAGATGAGCTTGTGCAGCTTGGCCGAGTTGCCGACCATGACGCGGAACCCGTCGTCGGCCTTGGCCCGCTCGACAATGTACGCGAGGTAGACCTCGCGGGTCTTGGGCACCCGCTGGTTGTTGGTGAGCGCAGTGACCACCGCTTTGCTCCAGTGGAGCGCCCGCCACTGCGAGTCGTCGTCCGGCAGCGCAATGAGCGCCGCGGCTGTCGAGGTGTACAGCTCGCGCTGGACATCGGTCGACACGTACGACGAGGTACCGGCAATGCACACGTCGAGCACAAGCTTGGACACCATGCGGTTGCCAAACGCCAGGTGCGTGCACATCTCCCGCATGTCGTCGGCGTACTCGGCGAACCGCAGCAGCGGCTGGAGCACTGTCTTGGAGGTGAGGACAGAGACAGCCTTGGGTGGGAGCGCGATGCCGGTCGGCGCCGGCAGAGCACCCTCGGGCAGCCGCTTGCGGTACGACGCGTGGCACGGATTCTGGCACCCGGTCACCAGCTTGACCAGCAGCTTGACCAGCGTCGTGTGCTGCGCCTTGGCTGCCGGCGAGTGTGACGGCTTGTGTGTCTCGTACAGTGCAATGAGGTCCGTGATCGCATTGACAGACACCAGGTACCGCACCGGGCCGAGCCCGATCTGCGCAAACTGCAGCAGCGTGTACAGCAGCTCCTCCGTCTTGACCGGCGGCTTGTATGCAGACTCGGTAAGGAGTGCAATGAGCTTGTTGATAAACTTGACCGCGGTTGTGGCCCCATCGTTAGCCTTGTCGTCGGCTTCTGCTGCAGGCTCGGCATGAGCCTCGTCACCCTTGGCCCGGGCGTCGCCAAACCAGTAGTCCTGCTCGTGCGGGACGACAGCAGAGAGGGCGACTACAACCAGGTCGGCGACAGCGCGCCGCCACGGGGCCTGCGGGCACGCCAGCAGCGCGTTGTCGAGCCACTTGGTTGCGATGAACGTGTCGAGGAGCCACTTGCACGCCGGCACCGACTTGCGCAGCAGCGACGCAACGTACTCCATCTTGGACGGGACTGGCTCCGAGTGGTGGGTGTGGATGAGAATGTCCATGATGAGGCGGACGCCAAAGCGAATGGTGGCAAAGAGGCCTGGCTCGGTCAGCTCGGCCTCGGTCGGTCGCGGTAGTCGGTGACCGGCTCGATGGCGTCGAGCTCGCGAGTCTGCAGCAAAACCAGGTCCCACATAAACTCGAGCGTCGGCGCCGAGAGGAAGGCCTTGTTCGACGCCGACGTCACTGCATCGCGCCAGATCTTGTCCAGGATAGCCGGGTTGTCGGTAGCGTCGGCGGCGGCGGCGGCGTCGGCGGCGGCGGTGAGGCCGGGCAGCGGTGTTGCGTCGTAAGTCCGCACTCCATACTTGGTCTTGCGCTCGTAGAAGAGCATATACGCCGAAAACGGCTTGGCCGACGTCGACATGCCCGAGTAGTTGCCGCCAAAGGCCTGGGCCGGAATCGAGTCGACCGAGAACGGCGTGACGCGGCGGTCGTTGAACTCAAACCACCGCGGCTCGGTGTCGTCGGCCACCTCGCGCTCGCGAATGTACGAGTAGTAGTGGCCGGCGTTGGCCGAGCCCGAGTGGATGAGGATACCGACCAGCTCGTACTGATAGTACGAGTCCGGCCGGACAAGCTCGTCGGCAATCGGTGTGCCTTCCTTGGCCGCAAGGCCCTCCTTGGTGTACGGCCGCATGTCGAGGTCCATGGGGAACTCAAAGTGGTCGTAGACCTTGACGTTCTGGAAGGTCTCAAACGAAAACTCGAAGCGGCACAAGTGCAGCGCGAGAAGGTTTGGCAGGTGCTGAATGCAGCACCGCTTGCGCGCCGTCACCTTGGCGTCGCAGTCCTCGCAGTGGTACTTGTTGTTTCCGTCGAGCACGTCCGCGTCCACAAACGAGTTGAGGCCCTCCTCTAGGTTCCGCTTGCCCTGCACCTTGACCGTCATGGTCAAAAAGTCCTCCTCGCGCTCGCGGGTGTGCTTGCAGTCTTGCGAAATGATCTGGTTGATGAACCGCCCGCCAAACGCGAGGTTGAACATCTCCTCGGCCTCGGTCCCCTTGATGAACGGCTCGAGCTGATCGACAAGCGAGTTGAAGAACTCGTTGGCGTCCTCCTGCTGACGCACATTGATCGTCTGCCCGTTGAGCTTGACCGTCTTGCAAAAGTCGATGGTCTCCACCCACGACGTCTTCGACTCTTGCATGTACGCGAACAGGAGCTGCAGCTGGAACATGATGTTGCCCTTGAGCTCCTCTTCGCTCAGCTTCTCATCAATTGGCGCCTTGAGAATAGCCTCGCGGAGCTGCGGAATGATGTACAGCTGCTGGAGCGTGGCATTCATGTAGCAGGTGCAGCCCTGGTTGCGGAGGCCGGCATACGCCTGGCCGCCGTGCGAGCCGGCCTGCCCGGTCCCGCCCGACGTCGTCACCTCGCCAGACATGTCCAGCCCCCAGTCGTCGTTGCCCGGCAACTCGGCCTTGCCGTACAGCCCCTCCACAAGCCCCAGGACCTTGGCCAGCGAGCCAGCCTCGGCCTTGGCCGCCAGCGCGGAGAGGAGCTTGAACGCAGCCTCGCGCGTGCCCTTGGTCTTGGCCTTGGGCACGGGGTCTGCCGTCTTGGACGCCGGCATGCCGAATAGCACCACGTCCGCCAGGTGCTCAACCAGCGACGAAACGCCGCCCGGAATGGCGGCCACACCCGACGCACCCGCAAGCTCGAGCACCTGCGCAGCTAGAGCAAGCCGGCCTGCAAACAGGCTATCCTCCGACGCCTCGAGGTCCTCGTAATCCTCCACAAACGGCGCAGAGACCACCGCGTCCACAAGGCCCGGCACAAGGGCACTCGCCTCGTCGGCCGACGTCGCCGCCGCATGCAGGCCAGCGAGAACATCAAAGAACTGCGCAAAAGAGGCAACCTCGTCGCGGAGATCCTCGGCCCTGTCAAGCAGAGAGCTCATGAGCTCAAGCAGCGGCGTGCCGAGCGTTGCCGCGTCCATCCCCACCAGCGAGAGCAGGCCGGCTGCCACCCGGCCGCGCGCTGCAGTGTCGGTCCCGGTCAGCAGCACGGTCTTGAGCCACTCGGTGAGGCCTGGGTACGACAGCACCGCCGGCATGAGGCCCGGCGCCGAGCCGATCGACGCCACAAGCATCGACATGAGGCCCTCGGGCGAGCCTGTAGCGTCATCGGCAGCATCGGCAGCACCTGCGGCATCGGCACCACCTGCGGCATCTGCACCGGAAGCAGGCTTGTCGACCGGCATCGGCGCGGTTGCCGAGGTGGCAGCCGCGGCGGCCTCGTCAGCAGCAGACGCCGCACGGGCGGCAGCGATGCGACCGGCCTCGCCGCCGCGGACGACGGGCGCAGCCTTGCGCGATGACGTCTGGTTGGCGGCTCCAGCCGGCTTTGTGTCCTCCACCGGCTCGGCCTCGTCGTCCGAGTCGTCGTCGGCGAGAGCGTCAAAGTCATCGGCCTCGGGGTCCGGCACCATCTGCATGCCGCGCGGATCCGAGGTGAGGGCGTGGATCCAGGCGTACTTGAGGGCGCCCTTGGTGTCAAACGAGGCAAACTTGGGCGTGCTCGGGCCCGAGACCCGAGGTGGCACAATGTAATCCTCTTTGCCGAGAAGAACACCGCCGCACGCGCCATACACGCCGCGCCACTTGCCCTGGGTCTTGGAGTCGATGGTAACAAGCGCCGGGTAGCCGTCGGTCGGCTCACCGCGGCTCCCATTCGGCGACTTGTCGACAAGTATGGCAGAGAGGGTCCAGTTGGGCGGCTCGTTGCCGACCGTGTCGATGACGAGGTTAAAAGTGCCTTCGCCATGGACGTCCCACACCACCCACTGACCGTTGTGGAACGACTCACCCTCGAGAACAACAGCGCGCGGGTGCTCGCCTTCGGAGTTGGGATTGTTGCCGAGCGAGTCGTCGTCGCCGATCCAGGCCACCATCGACTGGGCGCGGCGATGGGTGTTGTAGTCGATGCAGTAGGCAGCGACCTGGTAGTGGGCCGAGCCCTCGATGACCCACTTGGTGTGGAGCTTGTTGGCGCCGTAGTGGCAGTTGGCGATGCGGTCGGCCACCTTGGAGGCCTTGGACGGCATCTTGGCCTCGAGCTCGAGCAGAGTATCCGAGGTGGAGACATCTTGCGGCGACGCGAGCTGGGTGATCTGGTCCATCAGCCCGTGGACAAACGAGGCGTCGAGGGTGCCGGCGAGCGTCTCGGGCGAGAGCAGGCCCGAGGTGAAGATGGAGTTAATGAGAACTGCGAGGAGCGACGACAGCTGCTTGGCGTAGGCAAAGTCGTCAGTCTCGCGGTCGAGGAGCTGCGGCGAGGTGAAGAGCTCGACGCAGTGGACCAGGCCGCCAGCGGCGACAAACTGCTCGGCCCACGCCGGCTGGTCCGCAATCCTGGCCTGCACAAGGAGGAGGACGTAGAGCTGGTGAAAGACAAAGAGCGGCGAGTCTGGCGCAAACTTGGCGAGGGCGGCGATGGGGCCGGTCTCACCCACGCGCTCAAGCGCGTCGAGCGAGCTCGCCAGGTCCAGGTTGGCCGGAAGTGCCTGCAGGAGCTGCCAGAGGGCGGCGCGGTTGGCCGGCGCGGTGGCGAGGAGCGCAAAGAGCTGGTCAAACCGGTCGGCCGAGAGGAGGGCCGAGGCACCGAGGGCGGCGCCGGCCTCGGCGTTGACCACCTCGGTGAGGAGGTAGAGCGCGCGCGCGGCGTACTTGGCCGTGCCATCACCCTGGCCACCCGAGGCAAACGAGACGAGCAGGCCAAAGGTCTTGTCGGCAAAGGCGGTGCGGACGGCGGCGAGGGCAAGCGGCTCGACCCGCGACGAGACCGAGGTGTGGGTCATGCGGAGCATGAGCAACGCCGGGTTGGCCACATCGTCAGCGGAGACCTCAAAGGCAAGGCGCCAGAGCTTGCCGAGGCCCACAAGGCCGTCAAAGTCCTTGATCTTGAAAGCGGTCTCACCGAGGCGGCGAAGCGCGCGGCGGCGGGCGTTGACGGCGACAAAGAACTCCTGATACAGGACCATGCCGGCCGAGGTGAACGAGGCAACCGGGAGCTCCATGAGGCGCTGAGTGAAGAGAGCGTCGGTGAGAGCCGCCGTCATGACCGGGAACGTGGACGAGGTTCGTGCCGAGGCTTTCTTGTACGGGTCGACAAGGACTCGGGCCGGAAGCGAGGAGAACCAGTCAAAGGCGACGTCGGGGGCGCCGGCAGCAAGGATGCCGTCCCAGATCGCCAGAGCCTGGTCGATGGGGAGCTCGAGCGGCGAGCGGGTGAGGAGAAACTCGAGGGTGGAGAGGCGGAGCTTGAGCTCGACCTGGGTGTCGTCGGCGGCGGCGCACGACGCTAGCGAGGCGGCAAGCGGCGAAAGGACGCCGTACGACTCCTCGAGCGACGAGATGGTGGCGGCGAGGTCCGACGACGGGCAAGTGGCGAGGATTTCCGAGAGCAGCCTGAGCGAGGTGGAGACGATGCGGCCGGCGTGGACGTTGTCAATGGTGCGCTTGAGAAAGAGCGAGCGATGCTGCTTGTAGGTCTTGAGGAGAGCCTGCAGGTGCTGGCAAGCCTCGCGGAGGACAGCCTCGTCGGCCGAGTCCTCGACGAGCAGGTCCCAGAAGATCTCGAGACCATAGAGCTTGGGCTTGGCCTTGGCGGCCTCGGCGGCCTCAATGTCGGCTTGGAGGGCGGCGATGGTGGCCTCGTCGGCGGCAGCGGCGTCCTCGTCCGAGGCGAGGGCCTCGGAGAGTTTGCGACGGGCATCAGAGGCAATCTTGGCGACGCGGGTGTTGTGGACGAGGATAGCTCTTTTGGTAAAGTCCGAGAGGAAGGAGAGGACCTGGTTGTTGAACTGGTCGACGGTGAGCTTGAGGATCGAGTCGAAGAGGTGGTCGACCTGCTCCGGCTCGATAAGTGGAAGCAGCGACTCGATAAGCTCAAAGACCTTGACCTGGACTGACTCGTGGACGTTGAGCGCCGACGACCAGATGTGGTCGAGGACGTCTGTGGAGAGCGACGATGACGAGGCGATAAACTCGAGGATCTTGCCGCCGCGCTTGACAGCCTCGGGGTGCTCGAGCCGGAGGATGGCCGAGACAATGTCATGCTCCTCCATCCAGGCGAGGAGGTACTCGGTGGTGAGGAAGAGCGGCGGAGGCTTGGGCGGCGGCGAAGGCGGCGACTTGCGGGTCGAGCGCGGTGAGGACTCGGCCGAGGCAGCCGACGAGGCGGCGGCTGACGACGGCGCGGGCGACGGCGGGTCGAGTGCTGAGAGGCCGCGGTTGGAGCCAAAGACAACAAGCTCCTCGCCGCCCTCGCCATCCGAGCCGGCTGGCGAGTTGTTGGCGGAGCGGGCGCGGGCCGCGTTCCCGTTGCCACCACCCGACGTCACATGCTCCTCAAACGAAGCGCAGCCGGCGACCGGCGCGTTGTCCTCGTCACCCGGAAAGTAGATGCCGTCAGTCAGGACGGTAGTGACCGGGACAATGGCCATCGATGTCGACGCTGCCGGGTCCGGGTCCGAGTTCGAGCGCTTGCGCGACGGACCAGCGGCCGACGACGATGCCGACGCGACGGCGGCCGAGTACGAGTAGGTGCTTGTCGAGGCCCGCGACGAGCTTCCGGCGCCACTGCGTGCCTTGCGGAACGACGAGTTCTCCTTCTTCTTGCCGGCAGCAACCTTGGTGAGATGCACGATCCAGTCGATGGCGGTGACGACGGCGCGGATGTACGGGAGGCCCATAAACTCGAGCGCCAGCTGGAGCTTGTACTCTTGGACGGCTGCATTGAGCTGCGGCTCGTCGGCAGCGATGACAATCTTGGCGAGCGAGTTGAGGACGTCGGCGAGGTCGACGAGGTCAACCTCGCGGCGGGCGCGGTCGTCCAGGCCCTTGATGAAGGCGAGGATGGCGTCGTGGAGCTCGGAGGCGGTGGCGGCTAGAAAGTCCTTGGTCAGGCAGCCGCGGACCTTTTCAACAAGCTCGAGAAGTCGGACAAGGAGCGCGACGTCGAGGTCGGCGAGTGAGAGCAGCGCCGTGAGTGCACCAAAGCCCGAGGCGTTGACAAAGGCCTCGAGGACGGCGCCAAAGTGGACCGACTCGCAGATCGAGCCGGCCGAGTGGGCAATGACGACTGCAGCATGCGCCCCATGGGCGTAGGCTGCAGCACGGGGGTCGTCGGTGCTGAGCTCCGAGACCAGGCCGTGGTTCTTGTACATTCGGCCCTTGGGCCGCAGAGCACCCTCGAGCACACGCATCATCTTGTCGTCGACGGCGCGGCCGTCGGCAATGGCGGCGTGGATCTCGCCCGACACAAAGGTGACGGCTCGGACCAGAAAGGCCTCGGCCGCGGACGCCCACGACTCAAACTCGTATGACCGGTCGACGAGGGTGGTGGTCATGACAAATAGCGCGTTGTTGAAGAAGACCTGCGAAAAGACGGTTGCACCGCGGACAGGCTCGGCGGCGGGCGCCGGCGCGGCGTCGGCGGCGGCATCGTCTGCGGTCGGCTCGGGTGCCGGGAGCTCGACATCGCGCTCGGCAATTGCCTTGTCCATGTACCCATGAATGTCGGCAAGGAGCTGGGTCGGGTTGTCCGCTGACGGCGTGAGAGCGCGGTCGACCTTTGTGAAGAACGCCTTGAGGTACTTTTCATCCTGGTCTTGCTCGGCCTCGATGGCGACAGAGACCGGCTCCGGCTCGGGTTTGGAAACTTCTTTGTCCTTTCCCCCAGTCACCGGAGCATCCTCATCGCCATCGTCACCAGCATCATCCCCAGTCGGCTCTGACACAGCACCATCAGTCCGGTCATTGTCCCCAGCCTCGGTCCCCACCACAGTCTTGCTCTCCTCATTCATGGCATCATCCGGAGCAGTCACTGCCAGCTCTGGCACAGTAGTAGACTCGGGAGCCGAATCAGGCCCACCAGTGGCATCACTCTCCACCATTCCGTCTTGAATTGTGCATGAGTGAGTGAAGGGCGGGGGGGGGGGGGGGGAGGGGGAGGGGGGAGGAGAAGGAGGGGTCAGAAGGTGGTGGAATCGAATTTTTGGCTTGTGACGCCACTCAGGTGGAAGGTATGCCAACGTGCATGCGTGGGGGAATGCGTGTGTATGTTTGTGTTTGTGTGTGGGGTGTGGGTGTGTGGGGTGTGGATAGGGGGTAGTGGGAGGGAGAGGGAATGGTTATGTGTGTGTGTGTGTGTGTGTGTGTGTGTGTGTGTGTGTGTGTGTGTGTGTGTGTGTGTGTGTGTGTGTGTGTGTGTGTGTGGTGTGTGGTGAGGTG